ACCACAGACTTCTATTTCTTAAAACCACCCAATCTGTTCATTAACCATTCCCTCAGAACATATGAACAACAGGCTTAAGTTTTTGAAGAATATATTGATATTTATATGGCATACAACACCATCTGCCTTGTCCTTAAAAAGTGTTTTAATTCTACAATACAACTTTCTCAAGGCATGTATCTAAAATAACTGCAAAATGTCTAGGAAATATTTCATTAAGGTAGAAAATTTTCAATTATATTATGGAATCTACTTAGAATTATTAACTAGGAAAACAAAACCAACCATTAAAGTCAAACAAAAAATTTAAAAAGCTTTTGCCTGATAGATTTTTAAAATACTCATTTTGATTTTTTATTTTAGTAAAATAAAAAGTAGACCACAGGTTTGAGACTCGATCAGACTACCTGCTGAGAAACTCTTAAAAAACAAATAAAAACAATAAGCAATTTACTCTAAGTCATAAGGACCATAATAAGGACTCAAGTACAAGTCTTTATGGCCTAACCTGTGCTGTTTCTTTTACACTTACATGGAATCACAAGATTGCAAACAGATCACACATTCCACTCTTTCCAATCTCACTAGAAGCAGTGCCAGGGCAATACAAAAATCTTAGGGGGGAAAAAAAAACACAACCCTGTGAGGCTGAGTTTGCCTATGCTGCCAATGTATTTTAATTAAGGAAATCTTCAGGTCACCCATAGGTTGAATGAGATGTAATTACAGGACTACAGTAAACAAAGAAGAACGGAAACAAGTAGAAAGGGCTTTAGTAGTAAGCACTACACGAGTCCCAGAAAACAAAGGACAGGTCTAATTCAGTAATTCAAACACAGCACAAGAAACTTACCAGAATTACAGGATACCTGCTGTGGGGGTGGGGGTGGCTGATGTGCTAACGTCTGATGCTGATGGTTTGGATGATGCTGCATGTGCTGATGTGGAGAGGGGTGCTGGGAGTGAGGTGGCTGGAGCTGGCTGTGTTGCTGTGGGTGTGATGCTGGGTGCTGAGGACGCTGTGGGTGCTGTGGTAAACCATGCGGTCGATGGGGTGTGTGTGGAGAGGGCTGTGTGTGCATTTGGGGGTGGGACAGTGAGACCTGGGCAACCGAATTACTACCTGTGGCACTGAGGCCACTGTGACTGTTGGGCAGGCTGCTTTGGTTACTGTGTGGGTGAGAGCTCACTGTACTGCTAGGAGAGTGCTGATAGGAGCAGGAAGTGTGGGACTGCTGGGAAGATTCAGAAGGGATGCTCATCAAACCTACAACAGAAGATCATTCACAGTCAGATTTCCTTCTATTGTATGACACTTGCAGTAGCATTTTTTACAGAGCAAAGCATACACATGTAAGAAAGCAACATGTGAACACACACACACACACACACACACACAACACACAGGCACACTTTTTTAAAAGTGCCATAAACAAACCCACAAACATGGTGCTATTAAACTCCAGTGGCTACCTCATTGTTAATGCTCATCAGAACAAAAACATAACCCATGTATCCTTGTGGTGTGAGAATTCTTCAGCACAGTGCTCTAAGATGCCCTATAATCAAGTAAGCTCTACATGCCAAAACATAACTATACAGAGGTCAGTAAGCAACAAGAGGCACAATTACCACTTCAGCCAAACCTCATCATCATGACTCTAAAATAAAGCAAGTGAAATTAAAACATTTATATTACAAAAACCCAATGACATTTAAAAAGCAGCTCACCTTGTTGACTGAGTGACTGCTCAAAAACTGACTTATAAAGACTCCGAAATGAGGCACTGAGATCTTCAAAGTTGTATTCTGTGAAAAGCAGTTGTTTATCTCGTTCTGGAAGATTGTACTGTGGCTGCTGCTGAGGCGTTAATGATTGAGAGACTGGTTCTGGATGGTTAGTCACCTAATAAAAAACAACAATGAATATAATGGCTTGATATTAGTGCCAGCTCTGGAATCCAAGTCAATAACCTCAGCCTATGGCTTTCCCATCCTTTAGCCAGGCACACCTTTTAAGTGTTGCAGAGAAAAATCACTGACATGGATCTTGAGGAACCACAGAAATCCTATCCAGCCCCCACATGCATAAGAAAGACAACAAGTTCAAAGAAATTCAATGACTTGTGAAGACAATGCACATGAGAGACTTACTGGGACAGGAATTCTCCCTATCTCTTCATCGTGATTTCTATGGACTGTACTATACTATAAAGCTACCAATACTGTTTCTATTTCTTTGTATCATCTTTATATAAGTTCAAATACTATCAGCAGACATATGACACTGCCCAAAACAGCACTCTTCGTTTCTAGAAGGTTTTGTTTGTTTTGGCTCTTTTGGGGGGCCCGCCACCCAGCTCCCAAATAAATCACACACAGAGGCTCATTCTTAGTTAAGAATGCCTGGCCTTAGCTTGGCTTGTTTCATGCTAGCTTTCCTTAACTTAAATTATCCCGTCTATCTTTTGGCTCTGAGCTTTTCCTTTTCTCTTACTTCTGTGAATCTTACTCTTTCTCCATGGCTTGCTGTGTAACTGGGTGGCTGGCCCCTGGAGTCCTCCTCCTTCTCTGGCTGCAAGACCTCTTCTCCCAGATTTCTCCCTCTATATATTCTCTTTACCTGCCAGCCCCCTCTATCCTTTCTCCTGCCTTGCTATTGGCCAGCTCTTTATTAGACCATCAGGTATTTTACACAGGCACAGTAATACAGCTTCACAGAGTTACACAAATGTAACATAAACAAAAGTAACAACCTTAAAATAATGTTCTTCTCCTAGAAGGAACTGAAGGGACAAGAATGGAAGAGGGAAACACTACAGAAGACTGGGGCTGTAAGGCCCTTGCTGGAGGGCCTGCACAGCATGTACAAGACCCTGAGAACACTCCTAATACCAACTCCTGCCCTCTAAAGAAACCCAAAACAACTCCCAAATCTGTAAACCCAAAGGAGATCCTGAACAAAAGGGAATAGACAGGAGCCTTGAGTTATACAGGTAGCAGTGAAAGACCACCAACACCTCAAAAGTAAGAAGCGCTGGGTTTATGTTAAGTTTAAAAGGCATATTTGTGCATTTATGCTCTCATGAGTTAGCTGCCTGCATACCATGACATGTATGTAATCATGAGGACTGAAATTTGGGTCCCTGGAATCCAAGCAGAACTGGATGCAGGAGCATCCACCTGGAATCCCAGTAGGCCTAGGACAAGATGGAGAATGCTGGGAAGCTCAAAGGTCATCTAGAGTCTGCATCATGCAGCTATGAACAAGAATTATCTCTGAAAACAGCACAACCTGAAATGACTTTTTTTTAAATGACTATCTTTAGTTATTTATTTTTTGTGGTGCTAGGGATGGAACCCAAGGCCCTGCATATGCTAGGCAAGTGCTCTGCCACTGAGTTATACCTACAGCCTTTTATCATCTGTATTTTTGAAGGGTTCTATCAAAAAGTGGTAAATTACCATTTGTTTAGTGTTCTGCAATTTAAGGTCTGTACACTCACTGAAAATTTAGTTATTCAAAATGATGCCCAAAATAAGCCATTTGTAATAACTAGGAAAATATTAATTTTCTTTCTTTTTTCTTTAGTTTCTCTAATTCCAGTTCCAAGGAATCTAAAGGCCCTCACATACACATCCACAGACACATATGAATACAAAACACCCATAAAATAAATTTATTTATTATAAACCTTTTTATATTTTAAAAATCTTTTATGAAGGAGAATGGCTCCACCAGCTGCATCCTGGTGACCTTACACAAATTATAAAGGAAAAGCTCAATGGCAGATTGTTAATGTCATACTTTGTGATGAGAAGTGGTTTTGTGAAGGGTAAGCTTTCATCTGCCTTCCTATCTTGTGAGGCAACCATAGGGCAGCTTCTCAATGGTCTCCCTGGTTCAGTGAGGAATAGATCTTTCTGTCTTATTCTCCAAATGGCTATTACTGCATGTCATATAACTGCTCAGCTGCCATATAAAATTGACTCCTCCTCTAGAGCAACCCACTATTCATGTAGTCTGTCTCATGTTTAACAGGAAGGACTGTAACCAGATCCTCCAAAAAGAACATCTGATGACCCAAGGGTCATCTTCTTCTAAGAGGTAGTAAATGAATACAAGAGTAAGATGTTTATATAAACAAATCCCTTCACAGCAAGACTTTGTTTTCTAGACTAAAATAAAAAATAAATCTGCTCTACTGGCTGAATTAATTGATTAGAGAAAAATCTACATTTCGTCTTTCTTTCACTCATTTTATTTATATGTATGTGTTGGCATGCATGTGCCATGACACACATGTGGAGGCCAGAGGATAACTTGCAGGAGTCAGTTCTTCCCCTGCACCATGTGGATTCTGGGGATGGACTCTATGGAGCTACCTCATTAGGCCACATTTTCATTTTTTTAGTTGGCATTCCAAGTATGCTTGGTTGAATTTTTGTACTAAATGAATATCCAACAAAGAAACTTCATCAGGACTTACCGGTGTATAACTATGCACACTTCCAACACTGTTCAAATTAACAGACGCCAAACTCTGGTCTGAGAGACTGTTGTTAAGGCTGCTTCGTGGGCTATCACTCCCGTCCTGATCAGTGTTGTACAATGTCACCTGGAATGAAAAGAAAAGCAACGCCTGAATACACAGTTCCTAGAGTGAAGACAGCTGGAAAGTAGCACCACAAAACCACAACGGAGCCTACAGGAAGAAACAGAAAGCCAGTGGTCTTTCCTTCAGCATTTGTGCCGATTCCACGTTCAAATGTCAGTTCCCTATCACCACGAAACCATTTTCTTACTGCTCTCAATCTAAAGTACATACTTGTCTAGAACATAAACAAAATGTAGGAGTAAACATTTAATATCAGAAGGTAAATCTATCACATATAGATGGATGTGTCCATGCATTCATGCATACAAATGTGCTTCCTTAGAAATAAAAACAAACAAAAAGGCATCATAGTACTTCTGATATTAAAAACCATGGATATGTGATATAATTTTAATTGATTAATTCACTTAAAATTAGCCATTAATCCAACTACATGTTAATATTAAGTTTTTCATCCTAGTGAAGAAGTAAAATGAAAGAGTGATGTCTGACTTGATAGGAGACAGCAAGCTCCTTATTAGCTGCTGCCACATGCAGTCTGTCGATGTGTCGCTTTAAGTGCAAGTACAAAAAACATTAATGAACTTCTCACATAACTGTGGATAGTCTTTGATACATCAAAACATACCAAGTATCGAGTTTTTAAAAACTGAAGTTGAAATATGGAATTAGAAACCATGGCAATAAACTTTATACTCAGTTAAAATCTGTTCTCCTTGTACTTTGAATTAACTGCACATTATTATATACACATAATGTTATAACATCATCTGGAATATAATTTTGTAAGTGATCTTCTAAGTGTTGACATATTTCACTATCATACTTGTTAACATCACCCCAATTCCACTAGAAACATCTTCGCAGTGAAGAGGTAGCAGACTCACTGTAGTGGAGTCGCCTAAAATTCTAGGTTTTTCATTTGAAAGCTAAGATTTCACCACAAGAACCAGATAATGCTGAATGTTTTCCTTGGAGCAGCAGAATCACTGTGTTCATTTTCAAAAAAATTATTTGCCAACACTCAAACTAAATAATCTGTCACAGTTGTTCTTTCAAGTAAAAACAGTAATCCGTGAACACAGTAGCTTCCAACTTAACCACACACATGAATACTAAACAGACTCGTGCTCTGTGGTAACAATTTAATAAAACTACTTTTCCTGCTTTACCAAAGTAAACCTAGTTTTAAGTTTTGTTTAGCTTGAGCTCTGTGGCAGTGAAAAATACAGAGCCCTTCTAGTACAGAAGGTGCTATTGCCTCAATTAGGCTAACATGCCAGTAGGCTAATTTACCTACCGCTGTTTTGGTACTCCAGTGAAAACACAAATACAAAAACAACAAATATGCCGGGTGGCAATGGTGCACACCTTCAATCCCAGCACTCGGAGACAGAGCCAGGTAGATCTCTGTGAGTTCAAGACCAGCCTGGTCTACAGAATGAGATCCAGGACAGGCAACAAAACTGCACAGAGAAAGAAACCCTGTCTCAAAAAAATCAAAACAAACAAACAAAAAAACCCAACAACAAATATGTTACTATGAAGTTCTGACCTCAATGGACTCACTACAAAGGACTGAGTTACTTGGACATCTATAGCTGACTACATTTTCGGAACTGCTGACACTACCTCACAGTTTTCCCCAAGCCCTGCTGATGCTTCTCCTAACCATCCATGTCAGCGGTCACCCTCATCTCCTGTTTCACTATATGGACATCTACAACTACTGACAGGTTTTCCTGGTTTAGAATTATTTATGGTTACTCGCTCACAAAGCATTGTTTCCTACTGCATTATCTGCTCTAAATATTACTGCCTATTAAAAATATTTTATCTGACTGAGAACTTTATCATTATCTTTTATAATTTAGACTTCAGATCTATCTGAAATTGGCTTTTCTAAACAGAAGATGACTTTTCCTTGTATACTTAATGAAGACCTTGCTGGATTTATTCAAAGAGTCTGTCTATAATTATGTTAGCACCATAGTTTCATTTACAGTAGGCTTTCTCTTGCTTAATATTTGGAAGAATAATTCTCCTTTAAGTTTGTATGTGCAGACCAGAGTTCTTCGGGTGCCAAGATCAATCAGCAATGTTATCTACTTCTTTGTGACAGTGATTCTCATTGACTTAGTTTAGCAATTAAGCTAGGCTGGATGGCCACTGAGCCAGGGATCCTTCTTTCTCCACCCACTCAGTGTGAGGGTTACAATGCACATCACCATGTCCAGTATCTTTACAAGGGTTCTAGGATTCACCCAGGCACTTGTGTTTGTAAGGTTCTGTGATTTGAATAGGAAATATCCCCCCCCAACACTCACATATTTAGCACTTGGCCCCCAGTTGGTGGTGCCATTTGGGAAGGTTGTGAGGTCTCCCGGGGGTGTGAACCTTGAGGTTCAAGAGTCCTGCACCACTTACTGTTCACTTTCTGCTTTCTGAATGCTGGTGCAATGTGACCAGCTGGCACCTGCTGCCATGGCATCCCCACCACAGTGAGTGGAAAACCTTCTTCCCTTAAATTCTGTCTAGTCAGGGACTCTGTCACATGAATGAGCAAGGAACTACTGCAACTGGCAACTGCCGTACCAACTGAGCCCCATATTTTCTTTCTGGCCATTTAGCTCCCCACATTCTCAGTCTGTCATCCATCCATCCATCCATCCATCCATCCATCCATCCATCCATCCATCCATCCATCCATCCATCCATCTCCCCATAAGCATATCAGGATTTTGACTGACATCACATCAGCATCAACGGAGAAAAACTGACTTTTTTTTATAATAGTCTTCTACATAAAGACTGTGTATTTACTTAGTTATGGCTTTATTTTCTGTCAATAATAATTTAAAGTTTCATGTAGAATTCATCTTTTATTTAATTCTAGATACTTGGTATATTTTAATGCTAACTTAAATGTTTCTCTTAAAATATCCTAAGCCAGTGAGATATCTCAGTGGGAAAAAGGCATTTGCTGCCAAGTATGATGACCTGAGTTTAATCTCTAGACCCTCCATGGTGGAAGGAGGAAAAAACTCTGGAAAGTTGTCCTCTAACCTCCACACATGTGCAGTGGTCTGTGTGCCCATTCTCCTCCCCACAGTTAATTAATATAAATTAAAAAAAAAATCTCCCGTGGATAGTTATAGAAATACAACTGATTTCTAAGATCAAATGCCGGTCTACTATCAAGAGATTTTACTAAATTTACATCTTAAAACACTATTTTTTTTGGAGGGGGGGGGTTTCGAGACAGGGTTTCTCTGTGTAGCTTTGCACCTTTCCTGGAACTCACTTGGTAGCCCAGGCTGGCCTCGAACTCACAAAGATCCTCCTGCCTCTGCCTCCCGAGTGCTGGGATTAAAGGCATGCGCCACCAACGCCTGGCAAAACACTATTATTTTATTATAGTATTCTTTTGAATTTTCTATGTAAACAATCAAGTTATATCTGTGACCGACAACTTAAGAGCTTCTTTTATTTCCCCATGTATCTACATAAAATCTTCAACATGTCTTTTAGCTTCTCTGTGAACAGCATTCTTAACAGTCTTAGTGATCTTTCCTAGACTAGTCCAACCATACATGTTATTTCTGGCCTGCCTGTTGAAATTCTCCACATGGCTCTTTTCTTCCTTCCTATTTCTCTGCCTCCTGGACCTTTCTGTTGTTTTGAGACCACTGCTAGAGCTGTAGGTGTGCATCACCACACCCAGCTGCCTGGTACTTTCTTACCTCATACCAGGCATTATGACTTTCACCTTTTCCAGACATGTTTCTGTGTTCTTATAAATGTTCTCTGGCTTCTCATTTGTTGATTATTGTTATCTAAAATACTTTCTATTTCCTGACTTCTCATTTTATTACCATTGTCCTTCACTGCATTTGTTTTGCTTGTTTTCAGACACTCAAGTCATTAATATTTAACATTTCTGAGGCCTATTATACATAATTGAGGCCATTACTTTATATATCATAGGCTTAAGTCACTTGTATTTTTCATTGACTTACAAGTATTTTCTAATTTATATCATATTTCTTTGATCTTTTTATTGTTTTTTTTAAATAACTTGTAGTAGTGGTTTATAAAGGCATGGGACTTTGATGAGTAATTTATGGAAAATTACAGCTCTGGATGATCACCAAATGTAATTTAGCTGTCTTCTAATAAGAATACTCCTCCACCACCACTCTACGAACAGTTGAGGTTAGTCTATCACGATCTCTCCTTATTCACAGAACCAAGTCTACCCAATATAACTTGGCAGCCTGCAGTATTCACCACAGCTCTCACTGAAGATTGCAATTTTTGTCCCCTGTCTGGAAAGACTGCTAGATTCTGGCTAGTAGTGAGTCTACTTTGTTTATAAATATGAGCCCAAGCTTGCAGAATTTGGATTTAATAAATACTTAAAAGTTGATATTACTTACAGAAACCTCAACTCCTGAGAGTCCCCAGGATCTTGTCTCCTAAATATCCATTCATTTCATAGTTCCCTCCCTCTGGTTGCTGTATTTGCCCAGTCCCTGAATCACTAACTGTCTCTGTCTCCATCGCCGCCTTCCTCTTTGGCCTCTTACGCACATGTGCAAGTGTACATGTTGGGCGGGGACAGACAGGCAGAATGGTTTTTCTGGTATTGGGCATCTGGAAAAAGAAATCTAAAAACTGCAGCTTCTGCCGGGCGGTGGTGGTGCATACCTTTAATCCCAGCACTTGGGAGGCAGAGCCAGGCAGATCTCTGTGAGTTCGAGGCCAGCTTGGGCTACAGAGTGAGTTCCAGGAAAGGTGCAAAGCTACACAGAGAAACCCTGTCTCGAGAAAACAAAACAAAACAAAACACAACAACAACAACAACAACAACAACAACAACAAAACTGCAGCTTCTTGGACATCATATGACTGGGTCAGAAAGTCTTAACATTATTTCTTTCTTGGTCCTAATAACTTTAGCTGTCCATGTTTAGGCCCTCAGCATCTCTTAAGACTAAGCTGTATTAGAGATTTCTGGTTTCAATCCATACACTTCATCAGAAATTTTTCAGTTTAGCTGGCCATCATTAGAGATGCTATTTAGATGTACAGATGTCTATGTAGGGCTTATTCACAAAGATAGAGTAACCAAACTGTTAGCACAGCACAGAACTCTATCACCACCAGGAAACACACATAAACACCCCCTTCCCCTTAAGTGACTGTGATGATTCCACAAATTGCCATGTGGAAAGAAAAAATATTATATCTCCACTCCCAGTGTCCTTTCAGAATTGAAATCTGATTATGTCACCAATAGGACCTTGACAATCTTTACCTTTCTACAAACAAATCCCATAGGTGCATGATATATACATGTGTACTTATATATGTGCATGAGAAGATGGAGGGAATGAAAAAAAGAAACAGTGCAGACACAGGCTAGAAAGAGAAGGCAAAAGCTACAGGGACAAGGTGAAAGCAAGAGTGAAGAGTGTGAGCATAAAGAACAAAGATGCATGGCCTCAAGACTCCGTGGTACGGAGGAAGAGCCAATGCATGTTAAGACTTCTGACAAGGAAGAGTCATTTGCACTCCACTATGTATATAATCGCCAACAACACCAAAAATACAAGACTACCAAATGCAATTTCTGGGTACATTTACAGACTTGAGTATCACAAAAACAGGCTGACTACCATTACAATATCTTTATACGGCTGTTAGACTTAAGCAAATTGCTTGATTTACTGGATTCTGTTGACTGCTGTGATGACTATTTTTGTCAACTTGACAAGATCTAGAATCACCTGGAAATGGGGCCTCTTAACTGTGGGTAGGACCATTCCTTGGGTGGAGATTCTGGACTATGTAAAAATGGAGAAATCAAGCTAAGTACTGACATTCATCACTCTGTAACTCTGGTTCCCTGCCATGATGGACTGTACTCTTAAGTTGTGAGTCAGGATAAGCCCTTTCTCACTCAAATTATTTGTCAGAGTATTTTATAAAATCAACAAGAAAAGAAACTACAACAGAAAAATTCCATAAAATTTGACAATTTTTCCTTCAATTACATTATTTGGAAAGCCAATCAAACTTTCAAAACAAGTTGATAAAAGAAAATATTAGCTCAGAAATTTTTATCAATTGGAACCAGCAGAGTCAGAAATTTAAATTAGAACATAAGATCTCAGTAAGCACCTTCCAATTTTCCCCAACAAATATATAAACTTCACCATACACAACTCCATTGCCAATATAAAAGTAAACTAAATATATTTTAAAATGTTGAAAAAATGAAATTACTTTGTTAGTCACAGTGTTGATTGCCAGAGTTGGAGAGGCACTTCCCGAAATAATACACTCCATTCCCAAAGAATCTGAATCTATGCTATATGGAGTTGAGGCCTAAAATACAAGAACAAAACAAACAATTAGCTCACATATCCAACAATTTGACACCGTTTGAAGGGATTTTATCAAATTCTCCAACATCTAGTTTTGTGCCTTTTAGATATGAAAATAAGTAGCTATTAAAATCTCGTCTATATTCTTACTGTATTATGGCATGCTACTGGCCCTAATCCCATCAATTCTACTGGTACAACTACCCACTTACAACTTCAGTGAGTCTCATGATAGGGCAGTGCAGGGTGGAGCTGGTCTCCAACAACCTCCCCCATTTCTCCTTTTCAGCTAGTTAGTTACCTACTCATAGCCAGAGGTTTGGGACTACCTTTCCCAGACTTATCTGCAGCTAGCTGTGGCCATGTGACTATGTCAACGGTCAATGGAATGTGAGTAATACGTGGAACACCTGCAGCTTTTCTTTGAAAGGGACTTGCTTGTCTGCAATCTCTCTCCCTCACATTATGCACTGGAATATATATATGATGGGAATATTTTTGTTTATCCTGAAAGCTGAGTTAGGCAATAACTGAGAAACACTGGAAAAAGAAGATTAGAAAGAATCTGGACATCCGAACGACAGCATGCAATTGGACTGTGTATCTCTCTGATCCAATCTACACCTCTGCCTTCACCTAAGAAATACATATCTATAGTTTAAGCCTCTCTGATGTATTAGTTATTGCTTGCACATAAAATCGACAAAACAATATCCTAAACAATACACCCTATGCACTGTTAAACTTGAGTTTCCCAAACAGAACACAATGCTGTCTGCATTTAAAGAGTGTGTGTATCTCAAAAATTCAACATCTATGTTAAAAGTATAAGAAAAGCAAATATGAGTAACTTGTGACCATGGTGCCAGTTTCTCTGGCAAGAACTCTCACCCTCACATGCCACAACTGAACACAGACTCTTAAAAGGTCACACTTGGGACTAGTGGCATCATTTAGTAACAGTAACTGTGGGCCTGCATGAGGCCCAAGGCTCTGGATTCATCCTACCCCACAAAGCAACAGGAAGCCCTAAGGAAAAAACAATCTACAGATGCCTAAGATTAAAATGTTAGAATGAAACAGATCTTAAAGTGGCTATTAATATGCTCATGAAATAAAGAACATTTGAACAAAAACAAGAAAAAAGCTCAGTAAAGAATTAAAAACACAAAAATGAGTAAAATAAAAACTAGGTAAATACTATTTGTGAAAGACAAATAATCAGAAGGATGGGCTTTATATAAGAATGGGAGAGAGAGAGGGAAGAATGAGTAAATGAAAAGGTTTATCAACAGCAACAATCTAACCTGAACAACAACTAGAGGAAACAGAGAGCTTCAGAAAGTTCTGTGAGTCCCAGAAATCAGGGGCTTCACTAAAATATCAGAACCAATTAAGTGCTCTTTTATAAAGAGGATACAAAAATGTATTAAGAACCATTAGTTCTTCTACACTCCAACAATGAATTTGCATAAACTCATGAGAGCTCCCCACCAAAATCTGTTAATCAAGTTAACCAAAGTGAAACACTTTTACAATGAAAATTACAAAGTTCTTTAGAAAGAAACTGAAGGAGATACTAAAAAGGTAGAAAGGCCTGTCACGTGTGTGAGAAAAACACTGTTAAAATGTTCACATTACCTAAGCTAAGTTATAAGTTCAATGCAATACTCAAAATATAAAAGAGCATTCTTCACAGAACCAGGAAAACCAACCAACATAAACTTAAACAGAAGAAAACAAAACAAAGCCATTTTGAACAAAATGAACAGGGCTATAGGTATCACAGCAGCTGATGTCCATACATACAACAGAGCCACAGGAACAAAAAAAGCACAATACCAATATAAAAACAGACACTTGGGCCAATGGCCCAGAACAGACAACCCAGAAATAAATTCACCCATTCTCAATGTACTGGTTCTTTTTATCATCAGCTTGATACACACTAGGATCATCTGGGAAGAAACCTCTGTTGATAAAATGCCCCCTTATCAGACTGGCCTGCAGGTATGCTTGCGGGCATTATCATCATCATCATCATCATCATCATTATCATCATCATCATCATCATCATTGTTATTATTAGTGATTGATGAGAGAATTCAGCCCACTGTGCGCAGTGACACCACTGGGTAAATGGTCCCGGGTTGCCAGCAAGCAGCATTCCTCCTCTTCCGTTTTTGCTTGAGTTCCTGCTTTGGCTTCCCTCAATAATGGACTGATGGGGATCTGTAAACCTAATAAATCCTTTCCTCTACAAGTTGCTTCTGGTCATGGTCTTTATCAAAGCAACAGAATGCAAACTAGGACATTTAACATTTGTGAAATTTCACAAACAGTAAGGTATCGAAACATTCGAGTAACAAAACTTCATGCATTTAACTGTACACAAACTATCCCTTAATAGTGTAAAAACAAAGCAAAACACAACAAAATTCTACCCAGGCATTAGAATGAGCTTCATGCATATGAAACCTTCCACTATGTACAGGATTTCTTTTCTAAAACCCCTAGGAGCCAAGCAGTAGTGGTGCATGCCTTTAATCCCAGCACTCAGAGGCAGAGGCAGTCGGATAGCTGTGAGTTCAAGACCAGCCTGGTCTACAGAGCTAGTTCCAGCAAAATAATGAATAAAATTAAGACATTTTTAAAAGGTTATCCTTTTCCTAATTATCTGTCCACCTTCCGGTTCTTGTCTTAATTCAATGTAGGTGGATTCTGAACTGCACACAATTTAGTTTTTCTTCACCAAAAAGTATGAAATATTTCAACTTCATTGTGTTGCCCCCCAAAAAAGATAATTAAAGATGCTTTTTAAAATAATTTATTCATTTTTACTTTATGTACATTGGTGTTCTGCCTGCAGGTATGTCTGTATAAAGGCATCAGATCCCCTGGAGTTACAGACAGCTGTGAGCTGGGAATTGAACGAGGGTTTTCTGAAAGAGCAGCCAGTGTTCTTAACAGCTGAGCCATCTCTCCAGCCCCTCTATTTTTTTAAGCCAAGGTATTTTAAATAGTTTATATAGTACTACTTGGCCTTTTTCCTTCAAATAATTTGCATAGTATTTTAGAGAACTTAAAAAAAAAAACTACCCACAGCCATTTCCCCAAATGGTCCAACAACTTTGTTCCTTGAAAGCTTATACTGCACACACAGGCACTAGAGTGACATTACTAACATACTGTCACTTCCCTGTGATGGTAACCCCATACAATCTATCTTTACAATGGGTTATGAAGACTCAGCAACCTGTCTCCAGCTTCCACCTTCAACTTCTGCAGTCAGTCCTCCTAGACCTTCCTTCCTGCACCAACCATGCCAAGCAGATCTCTGCTTCAGAAGCACCGCACTGACCTGTGGAACCACAGAAGGGAGTCTTTCCTAAACCTAATCACAGTTGACAACTGACTTAAAACTTAAACAAAAACAAGAAAAGATACTCCCAAGGGCTAAATATCTTAAACTATAACGTAACAATTTAAAATTAGTTTTTCCAACTTAAAAGAATGACAGATCACAACTTTATAATGTAACCTGCCTTGTTCCTAATTTTACTGTTCCGTGATAAACTAAATTAAGGGGCTTTAGATTCACAAATGTTACTAAGATATACATGATCTAAGATGTTTCCTTAAATAAAATCCAGCCGGGTGGTGGTGGTGCACGCCTTTAATTCCAGCACTCGGGAGGCAGAGCCAGGCGGATCTCTGTGAGTTCGAGGCCAGCCTGGGCTACCAAGTAAGTCCCAGGGAAGGCGCAAAGCTACACAGAGAAACCCTGTCTCAAAAAACCAAATAAATAAATAAACAAACAAACAAACAAATAAATAAATAAAATAAAAATAAAATAAAATAAAATCCAATGGCTACTTAACATGTAAAGTATTATAACAAAAGCAATATATACTACAAAACTCTCTGATGAAAAACAGTACATATAAAATGGGCTAAAGAGCTAAACAGAGAATTCACAAAACAAGAATCACAAATGGCTGAAAGACATTTAAAGAAATGCTCAATATCCTTAATCATCAGAGAAATGCAAATCAAAACGACTCTGAGATACCACCTTACACCTGTCAGAATGGCTACGATCAAAAACACCAATGACAGTCAATGTTGGAGAGGATGTGGAGCAAAGGGAACACTCCTCCACTGTTGGTGGGAATGTAAACTTGTACAACCACTGTGGAAATCAGTATGGCGGTTTCTCAGAAAATTAGGAATCGAACTACCTCAAGACCCAGCCATCCCACTCTTGGGCATATACCCAAGGAATGCTGATCCATACCATAAAGATACATGCTCAGCTATGTTCATAGCAGCACTATTTGTAATAGCCAGAACCTGGAAACAACCTAGATGCCCGTCAACGGAAGAATGGGTGAAAAAAATGTGGTACATATACACAATGGAGTACTACTCAGCAGAGAAAAACAATGAAAGCATGAAATTTGCAGGCAAATGGATGGAACTAGAAATAATCATCCCGAGTGAGGTAACCCAAACCCAGAAAGACAGTCATGGTATGTACTCACTCATAAGTGGACTCTAGATATATAAAATAAAGAACAATCAGACCACAACCCATAGAACCATGGAGACTATATATATAGCATGGAGGTCTCTAGGACGACTGACTGTGGCTTATAATAAATTTCGGTTTTACTCAATTATTGAAAAAAAAGTAGCCAAATGAATGGAAACACATGAACTATGAACCAAAGGCTGAGGGGCCCCCAGCTGGATCAGGCCCTCTGAATAGGTGAGACAGTTGATTGGCTTGATCAGTTTGGGAGGCAACTAGGCAGTGGGACCAAGTCCTGTGCTCATTGCATGAGTTGGCTGTTTGAAACCTGGAGCTTATGCAGGGACACTTGGCTCAGTCTGGGAGGAAGGGACTGGACCTGCCTGGACTGAGTCTACCAGGTTGATCGCAGTCCTCGGGGAAGGATTTGCCCTGGAGGAGGTGGGAATGGGGGGTGGGCTGGGGGTAAGGGGAGGGAGTGGGAGGGGGGAGAATAGGGGAACACGTGGCTGATATGTAGAACTGAATGGTATTGTAAAATTAAAAAAAAGAAAAGAAAAACAGTACATATATACAACCAGCCCCTAAGATTCTTTCCATATTAAAAACAGTCACATTGATTTACCAGGGCAGGAAGTTATCATGACTTTAAAGACACTCTCTTTCAGAATATTTATTAAAACACGTGTCCACCTGATTACATGAATCCTGCTCTCAGCTTATCTCCTCACATAAGTTCCTTTCCCACACTGCCAAATAACAGACAACTTGACCAAAATAAAGCATCAGCAATACTGAGAGAATGTAGTCCATGTGGATGTCTTGTTTTGAAATTTTTCCACTTTAATCTTAAAAGTGAAAATTAAGAAGCACATAGTAGAAAATAGAATTTACCAAGTGCCATGTCTAAATTTCACATTCAAAAGCACCTACTTCTCCACCTTGAATCTTCTGTTTCTTTAGATTCTTACAACTGTCAGCAGTCTGAGGGGAAGTCTAGGATTCTCAAAAGTAAACAAGGTTTCTCTAACAACAGAGTAAAAGAGGATTGACATCTAAAAAGTGTGCAAAGTTGTCAACCCTATTATCAATTCCAATTTCCAAAAATAAAGTCAAACTTCAGTTAACTTCCAAAGAAATAACAGAAAAAAAGAAAAAAAAACAAAACATGATTTCTCAGCCCCTTCATCTTATCCATCCAAACTGCTTGAGAATGTCATGGGCTAAACACTTCAAACACGTTTTCCCTTCCTTCAAATTTCTGCCAACAGATATTAAATGTTTTGTATTTAATTCACATTTAATTTTATTAAATTGATGCCTGGTTCCAAAAAGTCTGCCTATCTAAACTCTTCTGTGGCCATGCCTCATGTGGCCCTGATTCAAACGTAATCTGAGGTCCTGATTCTTTTTTTAAGACAGAGTCATACTATATATAGCCTTGGTCCTTATTATCAAGGCTTAAAAATTATATTCCTTTACTAGTAATAGGCAGTCACATGTCAATTTATTTCACCACACATTACATGTTTTCTTCCTGATCTACTCTGCAAACATCTATCCACTACAGGCTGTGTAACACACTAACATTAGAGACGTGAATACTTAAGCTGTGTGACATGAATACTTAGGCTGTTCCACACACTAATGTTAGAGACATGGATACTTCTTTGTCTTTAAGGGGAGATTAGTCCAGTGAAGGAGAAAAATATAGGAAAAAATTACTATAAACTATGCGTGGTTTTAAAAAAGAACTTTATAAAAATTCTACACCACTACAAATGCAAACAAGAGGAAAGGCTTTACTAAGTAGTAACACCTGAAGCAAGTAAACACAACAGCAAAGAGGATGAGTATGGATGTTTAGCTGAAATGCTGCAACTGTAGAAAGAGTGAGAAAAACTGAGATGCAGTCAACATATGGTGGCAGTTGAAGTGTTGACTATACATATTAAAACACATAACTGAAGTATCAACCAAAGGTCTTTTCTTGGAAATGAGCTTTAACCATGGATTTATAGCAACACAGGCACACAGATTGTATTTCAAGTGATCCTTATATGGATGAAAGTAGGGAAAAGCACTGTGAAGACAACGAAGAAAATGTGATGTAACCAGGAAGAGCATCCGTGCAATGGCTGTTATTTCAATCAATCCTCAGTGTCGGAGGAGCAGAGCAAAGCTACCAGACTAAAGCTCAGATGCCTGGGGTGTGAGTCTCACACATCAGTTGTGTCCTAATAGAGCAAAACCTTCAAGCAATTCCTAAACTGCCTCCCTTGCTCAACGGGTGAAGACCAAACAAAATGGGTCTGAAAAATGCTCTGAAAATACTAAACAGTATCAAACAAAATCTTCCTTTGCTTGCGATTATTTTCTACTGGAAAAGAGCTGTGAGTCTATACTTCTGATAGGCTGATATCATATCTGATATGAATCATGATAATGAGTTAATTTACCCGTTCTACAGATCGGGCCCTCTTCTTTGACCGAGTAGGCAGCGTATCTTCCTTCGGATTGGTGTCTATTGCCCAGTAAGAACCCTAAAGATAAAGAAAGAAATGATATTAATTATATATTACAGTAAACCTTAAAACATTCAAAGAAATATTTATAATCTTCTCTAAAACAAAACATTTTGCAAATGTAACAACCAACAAAAACAGAAGAAATGCAGCTGCTCATTTGTGTAGGTGGTGCCAGTAGCGGAGCTCCAGGCCTCCCACCTGCCAGGAAAGGTTCCCTACTGCTAGCTTCACCTCCAGCCCATTTCGGAAGTTTTGATTCTGAAATAGGATCTCACTAAGTTACTCAAGAGGACCTCATCCTTGTGGTCCTGCTTCAGCTTCATGAACCATTGTGATCACAGGTACGCACAACCCCGCCTAGCAAAACTTTAATTCTAAAATGAGAAAAGCGAAGAGACCACAGCTGCATATCTCAGTCCAAAGGTTCTTGCCACACTGAGTCAAGAAGAAACTAACTACCAAATGTGTTTTTTGTATGTGACTCATTCTTTATTATTTTTAATTTAAAAACTGTGGGGTGTGTGTGTGTGTGTGTGTGCTTTCAGTGTGTGGTTGTGCATTCCTAAGCACATATATTGTGACCAGAGCACCATATCAGGTGTCTCCTCTGCCTCGAGGAAGGCCTCTCACTGACCTAGAAGCTCAGTGTTTCACAGGGGTGGATAGGCTGGCTGACTGTGAGCACTCCAGAGCTGTCTGTCTCCATCCCTCAATGGTGGGGTTACAAGAACATGCAACCATACCCACCCAGCTTTTTAGGTAATGGCTGGAATTTGAACTCAGGCCCTCATACTTACAGATCAAGCACTATCACCTCCCAGCTATCTCCCCAGACCCTGTAACGGATTCTTTGCAGTGATTATATTATATAGAGATTTACACCTAAAAGTAGTTTACAGTTAAAGATACTCTAGTCTCTATAGCCTGGGACCCCACAAATCTAAATGTAAGAAGAAAAATTTATAAAGACAACTAGTTGAACACATTCTATTTACATAAGGGCACTCTGAGGTCTGCGCATAAATCTTTTATTGCTTATTCTGTCATAATTTGTTTTCACTATATCCTTTGATAGTTTTCCCATTATTCATTTACAATTATGTATTGAGCACCTGCTATGTTTCAGATACTTGAGAAAACTACACAAATCATGTCATCTGCACATTATACAGGTGAGGAGACCAAAGCTCAGAAAAACACTGCTGAGCCTTGATCCTTAGTTCCTCACGTGTGCATACACATCCGTGTGCATACACATCCATCTGGGAGAAGAGAGGGAATAAGAAAGGAAAAAGGTGAGACAGACGCATTTCAAAAATGGGAACACAATGTGTAACCCCCCAAAGTGCCGGCTAGTCGACATGACACAAAGTAGTGTCATCTGAACAGAGGGAACCTTGATTCAGAAAATGCCTCCAGAGGGCTGGAGAGATGGCTCAGCGGTTAAAAGCACTGGCTGCTCTGCCAGAGGTCCTGAGTTCAACTCCCAGCAACCACATGGTGGCTCACAACCATCTGTAATGAGATCTGGTGCCCTCTTCTGGCCTGCAGGCAGAACACTGTACACATAATAAATAAATAAATCTTTAAGAAATAATGTAAAAGAAGAAGAAGAAGAAGAAGAGGAGGAGGAGGAGGAGGAGAAAAGAAAAAGAAAATGCCTCCATAAGGTAGGCCTGTAGGAGCCCAGACCACTGTGAGTGGTATCATCCTGGGCTGGTGGTCCTGGGTTCCATAAAAAAGCAAGCTAAGCAAGCTGTGAGTAGCAAACCAGTAAGTACCATTCCTCCATGATCTCTATGTCAGCTCCTGCCTCCAGGTTCCTGCCCTAACTGCTTTCAATAATGAACTGCTATATCAAAGTGAGGGTGAAATAAACCCTTTCCCCACCAAGTTGCTTTTGGTCACAGTGTTTCATCACAGCAACAGAAACCTTAACTAATACACCAGATTTACACAATTAGCTGAAGTAATATTACTCAGACTTAGTCTTGCTTTCAGTATTTCATTTATCTTCTTCATCTGCTTGTTCTGCAGCACTTAACAATAAACAGCTCTCCTCTCAAGCTCACACTTTAACCAGACATGATTACTGTACACATGGCATGTTGGTATGTGTGCCATGGCACATGTGTGCAGACCAGAGGACAAGTCTATGAAATTAGTTCTCCCTTTCCACCTTTATGTGTGTACCAGGTATGAACTCAGGTTTGAATGGTAAGCACTTTACTTGCTGCACCATCCTGATGCCTCCCCCTGCCCCGTGTTACATGTGCCACCATGTCTGGTTTACAAGGAACTGGGAGGAAACCCTGAACTTTGTGCGCACTGGGCGAGCAATCTACCAAATGAACTACATCTGTAGCCTCAATCAGTCCTGTAGACACAACATGTTTCATGAATCTGCATTGGAACCTCGACAGTGGTTGCACTATCTACAATATCCATCCTACCACTAACCAACCCATATTCCACCTTCAAACTTACTCTAAACATTAACCAAGGAAATCCTCTGTTCTTCCTGCCATACTCATTCTCTCTCTTTTTTAACAGTCCTGTATTTTTACCTGTTTAGACCACTGATTGCACTTCACATTAATTAGTTATTATAGTTTTGTCTAGGCTCTGAGCTCCTTAAGGACAAGTTACTTTACTCATTACTGTAATGACCAGTGCCAGGTGCAACTGTAAGACACCAAGCCAAGTACTCAAAATAAATCTATACTGAAACAAACAAACCAAAAACCAAACCAAACCAAAACAAAACAAAAAACGATTGTTCAACAAACTAGACCAAGAATGGCAGTGTAGAGGGTTATGATGGCAAGTTTATTCAGTTACGATGCTAGTTTATTCAGACACCGGAGCTTTCCACTGGCCGTATGCCTCTAGGCTACCCTCTCAAGTGGTCACTGCTTTTCAATGAATGAATCTACTAGATCTGATATAAATGTGACAAGAAGCATGTAAAACATGGATGTTCTCAAAAGCATAAACTAGTGCCTAACTGGAAGCTTACAATGATTAAAATCATGACATCCTAGTCTTAAAAAAAAAAGTAATGTATTAGCATAGTAGTTTCTATATCCTAGAATTTCACAAATCAAGTTTTAAGCACAATTTACATGAGTTTATGAGTAGTGTTCAGCCAGTATTTCGCAATCTAAGTAGGAAAAAATTACTGAGTTGTATATACTGGGAAAAACAAAAACAAAAACAGTGCTCGTGGAAATAATAAACACCTGTGTTTGGTTTTTAGATTACTGTGTGTATATGTATTAACCTAGGGAAATCACTCAATGTCCAAACTGTAGATTTACACATCACTATAAACATTTGAATACAAATACAAAAGCAGGAGATGATGAAATAGCCCAGTGCTTAAGAGCATTTGTTGCTCTTGAAGAGAACCCAAGCTCAGCATCCGCATGGTAGCTAACAACCATCTGTAACTCCAGTTCCAGAGGATCTGACACCCTCTTCTGGCCTCCGTGAGCACTGTACACACATGGTGCACATACATACATGCAGGTAAAACCATACACACAAAAATAAAAATAAACAAATTACCTTAAAACACAAAGACAAATGTTTTAACAGTTCTTGTACATAAAATACCACATAGAGATCAAGGATGGGGCAAAATCTATTATGAGCACTTTTTTTGTGCTAAGACATCTCACCAACCCGTTTTACTTTTAAAATCAACTTCCCTGAAGTATGTTTTAACAAAAAACAAAATGCACCCATTTTAAGTAAGTAATTCAAAAAGTCTTAATAATGTACACACCCTGTAATTAATCAAAATCAAAGCCAAAGAACATTCCATCACCCGCAAAAGCCTCTGTGTGGTGCAGCAGAGTTACCTTCCTTTGCCCACCACCTCCCTCACGAACATCCAGAAGTCTGCTTCCTGTCATTATACACTAGCTTTTTGCCCTTTCTAGAATTTTGTATAAATGGACTCAAACTGTTAAGTTACTTCCCACTCTTCTCAATAATGTGAGAGAGTCCTACTCTCCATTCATGCAACATGTGCTTCTCTGTTCAAGTGTAGTTATGTCTCTGCGGTTCTAGTCTCCTGATGAATGGTAATACAGCTCTCTTTTGTCAGTTTCTCATTGATTTGTGTTATAAATTTTTCATATATGCTAAATAATGAATCCTTTGTCAGATGTATGTACTGTGAATATTTTCCAGTCAATGTTTGCATAATGGTACTTTATAAGGATCAAAAGGGGCTTACTTCAATAGAGTCTAGTTTATCAAATTTCTTTCAAAGAAAAAAGCCTTTTCCAAGACGAAAATTATTTTCTGCAATGCTTTCTTCTAAAAGTTTTGTGCTCTCAACTTCTATACTTATGTCTCTGTTTCATTTGATTTTCAACGTAAATAAGGATTATTTTTTCCACCATGATATACTAGGCAGTCTTGAGAAGACTGTTATATCAACTGAATACATTAATACCTTTGTCAAAAGTGAGCTTACTGTATACATGAATCTACTTCTGCAATCTATCTGCTGAATTCATCTAGACTGTGTTCCAATGACACATTATCTTGATTTTTGTAGCTGCATGAAATTTTGAAATCAAGTAATATATACCCTAAAACTTGGGAGTTTTTCAGGTCTTTTGCCCATAATAACACGTGAGCCCACTTGTCAATTTCTACAACCCTGACATGACTTAAAAAAAAAAAAAGTATTACATAACCACACATAACCAATAGCAGGGAGTCCTCTTCTCTGCAAGCATGCTGCTACCTCTCCATTTGTGTAGGTTTCCTCTATTTCTCCTGGTAATGTTTTCAGTAAGCAGATCTGCATCTATTTGTTAACACAGTTCAGAACTGTGGATGCTACTGTTAAATGGGGTGTGTTAAATCTTCCAGTGCCTTGCTAGTCCATAGAGATTATGTGCCCTGCATCTCAAGACCATGCCAAATCCTTGTTCTAGTTGCTTTCACAAAGTCTTTGAGATTTTCTATAACAATAACTTGTGGAGGGTTTAACT